ATATTTTTTATGATAATTTTATAAGTTAAATTATATATATTTTTTTTCTTGTACAGTGTCAAATTATTATTTTCAAAGATTAAGAGTTTCGTTTATCTGAAAAATTATTAGTGAAAAAGATGTTCATTAAGTAGTGATAAATATTTATGCTTAGTAATTTTACACTAGGATTAACTGTTTAGTAAATATTATCAAAAAACTATTTTTTGGCAAACACGCGCAGCTAAACACAAATAACCTTGAAACTCCAGCATTACCAACTCAACACATACGTTATTAAACTCTTAAGTTGGCAATGCTAAAGTCTCAAGGTTATTTGTGTTTAATCGCACGCGTTTGACAAAAAATAGGTTTTGATAATACATATTTACTAAACAGTTAATCCTAGTGTGAAACTACTAGGCATAAATATTTATTACACCCTAATGAACATTTTTTTTACTGAAAATTTTTCAGACAAACGAAACTCTTGGACTTTGAAAACAATAATTTGACACTGAGCAAGAAAAAAATAATAATATTAATTTAACTTTATTTTTATGAATCTTATATAATTAATAATAATAATAAATAATATAATAATAATAATAATTATTATTATTCTTATAATAATAATAATAATAATAATAATAATAATAATAATAATAATAATAATAATAATAATAATAATAATATATAATTATTATTATTATTAATTAATATAAATATTATATACTAAATAAACTGTCAAGATTGATTCAGAATTGAATTAAGATTAGATATTCAAGCTTCACTCACGAAGATTGACCGAGCCGTGAATCGAGCATGGGACGAACATTGGTGTCCAATGCTGAATCAATATTGAGTGACAATGATTCAGCGTTCAAGACTGAATCAAGCTTCAATCCATCGTCAGCATTGGTCTTTCGCGCCTGGGTACTGTTCACAAAATAATTAATAGTCACAATTATTGCATTGAAAATTATTGCCAGTCACCGCAGTAACAATTTTTTTAAAAGTATGTAAGTAACACAATTTATCGATAAACGGCGCCGATAGCATCAACTCCACCCAAAAACAGAATTTTGTTCCTAATAGCCCCAGTTTACGGTAATTAAAATAATTCAGGATTATTATGTGTAAAATTTTTAGTTAAAATTTTCATTTTGACCTTATAAGTAACAGAATCGAGGCTCAGTGTCCGTGCGGTTTAAGTAGGTACGTCAAAGACTTTCGGAATGCGTTTGGGGCGGGGGGACGTGAGTTCGATTCCACATGCGAGCGGATTTTTTCATTATAAGCGTTACATAAAATAATAAAATTACTATTTAATCTGTATAATTAATAAGTGTTGTGAATAAAAACTTGTGAACATGTAACTATAAATAATATTAAAAGTCTGTTAAAAATTGAAGTTAAAAAAATGTACAAATTATCCTAAATTGTCTTTTTTTGCTAAATTATTTTTCAATATTATTATTTTAAATGGCATTTATTGTTAGTAAAATAATATTTATATGAAAATAATATAATTATAATAATAATAACTTATTGTCATTAAGTATGTAAATACATATAAATAACCAGAGCTGGGTAAAATGGTTCTTTATTTCTATTTAAAATACAAAATGCCAAATAGATTCATGAAACCTATTTAAAATGTAAAATGGAAAATAGTTGTCTGTTTCTTATTTAAAATGCAAAATGCAAAATATGTATTTGAAATAGGTTAATATAAAATGCAAAATGGTTTTTAAAAAATTTTTATTATAAGATCTAGAGTATCCTGACAGTTCGAAAATTTTTTAATTTTAATATGCTTGTTTGCTTTTAAAAGCAATTCCCACATAGCACAACATTTTTCAGTAAGTTTGCAGCAAGTTCGCGGTGCAAAGTTCGGAGGTTTGCATGGAAAGTTTGCAGCAAAGTTTATGGACGTATAAAAATGTCTGCCCGATTTAAAGTTTGCAATGCAAACTTGCTATAAGTTTTCACGGAAAACTTACAAATAATTTTATAGCAAACTTGAGAATAATTTGCCGCAAACTTTCTAAAAAATCTCAACGTTAACGTATCTCAACTGTCATAGAAAACTAATGCGCAGACATTTAAGTTTAACTTTGCCATGCAAATTTTCAGCAAGTTTGCATTGCAAACTTTAAATCGGGCAGACATTTTTATACATCCATAAACTTTGCTGCAAACTTGACATGCAAACTTCCGAACTTTGCACCGCAAACTTGCTGCAAACTTTCTGAAAAATGTTGTGCTATATGGGTTGCTTTTCAAAAATGTCGTCTCCCATGGACCTTTTTTTGAACGTAAAATCATTCCAGCGTGGCTGAAAAGTCGTTTGACAGGAGCCGATGATGGAAGGATTGTATTGTACTTACAAAAAAGATCTTTGATTTTTGATAACGCATTAAGGGTCTGTCCAGTCCCACGGCGGCGTGAAAAAGGAAAATGAAAAGCGTTTAGCCAATAAAAACATTCGATTCAAAGGAAATAAGAAGATTTCCATTGTAGCATAAGTTCCTATTATCTAACGCTTTCCGCTTTCACGCTGCCATGGGGGTGGACCTTTAATTGAAAGGTTTTAATTCAGCAGTGAAAATTTGCATTACTATTGAATAGTACTGAAAATGGAAATGGAATTTTAAATGGAAAATAGGTTGTAAATCTATTTAAAATAGAAAATGCAAAATGGTTGTTTCATTTCTATTTGAAATATAAAATAGAAAATGCCATTTTTCATTTCAAATAGGTATTTTAAATAGATTCATTTCAAATATTTACCCAGCTCTGTAAATAACAGTAATAACAATAATATATTTATTATTATTAATAATAATTAATATATTCACGTTATATTGAATGAACGCGTGAGAAGCGTGTAAATTTGGGAACAGTCGTGTAAGCAGTTTTGTTCAGTCCTGCTTTAGGCTTCCGCAGGCGCAGCATTGATTCAAGATTGAACGCAGCAGTCTTCAACAAAGATTGAGCGTCAGGCTTACATCGATGTTACTATTCTGCCGTCCAGAAGAAAAAGATACATAAGCGACATTTTTGAAAAAATTGAGTTTTTGGTATCATTGGATTCATAAAGAAAAGCTGCATTTAACTGTGTTAAAAAGAATTAAAAAATTTAATTATTTATTGCAAAAAAGATTGTTTAAAAATGACAAAAATGGAAAAAGTGACGAAATACAGAGTTAAAAGATACATATAGCACTTTGTGGGTTCATATTTCGGTAAACGACGCTGCATACGTCACTAACTTACAGGACAAAATGATACACAAAGTCGCTTATGTATCTTCTTACTCGGTAAATGAGCCTGAGAGTGAGCTGACTTTACAGACTAAAAGAAGCGACTGTCTTTATGTATCTTTTTCCTCTGTAAAATGGTCTGACAGTGAGTCGAGTTTACAGAAGAAAAGCGATAATTTTACGACACTAGGCTTAGTTCTTTTATATTAAGTCGCTTATGTATCTTTTTCCTTTGGACGGCACCGCTCAGCTCGAGTAAGTTTACCGAGAAATAAAACATAAGCAACTTTGTGCTTTTATTCGTCTGTATTTATCACTACTAGAAACCCGTATGTCCATTTTACAATAGAAATTGTTTAAAAAATTAATTTTTTTTACATAATGAGAAGCAGAATATTTTTTTATTAAATATTGATCAAACATTTTTTTTAAAAAGTTAATTTAAATTATAGTTCCGGAGGCAAAAAGTTTTCTTTGATTTTCTCGGATTGATGGTAATGTCGCTTATGTATCTTTTTCTTTTGGACGGCAGTATTCCGGACTGAAGCAGCCTTGCTTCCGCTGTCCCACCAAGCTTCAACGAATCCTAACCAAGCCTCAATCAAGCTTCGTAAAGCCTGAACTCACTGTCAGCTCGCGCCTGGGAAGCTAATAAAATACTTACTTTGATTTATTTTCTTAAAAATAAGTTAACTAATATTTAGAAAAAAAAGAAAAAATAAGTTTTCTTAAAAACGGCTCAAGTGATTTTGTTCTTTTTAGGCTCAAAATTATCACGAGGCATCCCAGAAACAAATTCAAGAAAAAAACCGGAGGTGGAAGCATTTTTTGGGTTGAACTTAATTCAAATCCACCGTGGCTCCTCTTAAAAGTTCTTGATTACCTTCCCGAATAGCACATAATTTGTGATCAATATTGTGACAATATTGCCAAAATTGCCCGTCAATGTATAAAGTCAATACTGCAACGGACCAACAAAGAGGCCCTTTTTCCAAAAATGTGTTTTTTAATTAATAAAACGGATTTTTTGCGAAGTTAATTGTTGAGTGATATTTTATTGAGTAATTTGAAGCAAAAAAAGAGAAAGTATAAAAAAAAATTTTGAGGGACTTTATTATGAATAATCGTAGGAAACATCAAAATTTTTATTTCTAAAAAAACGAAATTAAAAATTGTAATCTGAATTTCTGTGGTTCTTCTGGGAAGTTATTCAGATGAGAGTTATTTTAAATCTAGTACATCCTTAAGATGAAAAATCAAAAGGTTTTGAATTCAACGTGTGAGACCCTGTAGATTAAGAAAAAAGAATAAAAAAAGATTCGATATTGTTTTTAAAATTAGTAAATATCGATTATCTCGGAATCTAGAACCGACAAAGTCTTCCCTCTTCATGGGGGCATCCACATTATATAGAAAATTATAACATTACTGGACAATGTAGATTCTCTAATGTGCTATTTGGGTCCTTGCACCATCTGATTTGGGAAATAACTAAATGAATTAAGAGGAAAGCAGTGTTTTTCACTCCCAATGTTTTAATGTAAATAAAACCATCTTTAATTGTTTTACCTCCTGCAATTTATAGGAGGTTTGAGGAGGAAAACACGTCTATTAGTTCGACTCGGGGAGGTAGCGCACGGCGAGTAGTGCGATAGTTGTGAAGACACAAGAAGAAGGAAGGAAGAAACAAAGAAAGGAAGGAAGGGATGAAGTTAAATTCTATATGTACACTGAAATGTTGAAAATGCTGTGCTACCATCCCGGTCCCACCACTTCGTCTTGGACGCACGCGCTCTAGTCTCCTTTAAATTGTATGGAAAGCCTTCTGGTCGACTAACCGGACCAACAAGCAACAACCGAGGTTTTACCTTACTTCGGTTTTTGCGTTCTTCGAGAACGTTCGAGTCACGCCGACAGCGAAACGACTTTCGCCATTGGCTCGAAAACTACTTTCTGGGAATATAAATATACTTTTTTTAATTTTCAATTTGGTGTCAGTTTTTTTCACATATTTTTTCTTGTTTATTTGTTCAAATCAGAGTGTTGCTATTGACTCAACGTGTCGTGACTACGTGACTTGGTCACTCATCTAATAGATTGGCGGGACCAGTTTAATCGTTGTCAGTTTACTCTTACTTTCTGTTCCCAAGTAATATGGCTCAGCTGATTAGCGTCAAGTTATCCCGGTTTGACGGATCGCCTTGGGGCTTTCGACTTCAAGGTGGCAAGGACTTTGGAACACCACTTATTGTCCAGAAGGTCAGTGCTGATTAAAGGACCTTTTTCTTTATATTACACTTTTTTTAAAATTATTTACTCTTCTCAAAAGAAAACAATAATTTTATGTGGTAAGTGTAATTTTTATTCTTTACAAGACATTTTTTTATAAATTCATCATTTCAAAATAAATTATTTTTAAATAACATTTAAAAATAAAAGTCTTAAATATTATATAAAATGCATTAAACGTTAAAATATTTAAACATAACTTTATAATTTTACTCGTAGTAATTTAACAACAATTTAAAAAGTTTTTATGACACTGAAAATATTGCCAAAATTATGAAACTGTCTGAAAATATGAAAGCTTTTATTTTTGATAATTTCTGTCTAACACTATAAAAGTAATATAATTATCACCTACTTTGAAACATTCCCCTGTAGCTTGAAAGGTTGTTTGGTAATCTTTCCGCTAGCTTACTTACTACACGGAGAGAGAATATATATTAAATTTTGTAAAAATATTTTCAAATTGGGGAAAAAGTGCGACAAAGCGAAATTTTGATATCAAAAAATACTAAACTTTAAAAAAACTTATGTGAAATTTAGTATAATTATATCAAATATCAAGAATATTAATTAAATTCTAATATAACTTTACTAAATTTCATATAAGTTTTTTTAAAGTTTAGTATTTTTTGATATCAAAATTTCGCTTTGTCGCACTTTTTCCCCAATTTGAAAATATTTTTACAAAATTTAATATATATTCTCTCTCCGTGTATCTTTTTAATAAACACATGGAATATCTGAAGGACAATCTGAGAAATGCAGGCTTCTTAAAATAGTACTACACTGACACATTTGAGACATTCCCCTATAGTATTAATATAAGCTTGTTTGGTAATCTTGCAGTCAGCTTACGTGATATCTGAGTTTTTAATAAACACATGGAATATCTGAAAGACATTCTGAGAAATATATACTTCTTAAAATAGTACTGCACATATACTTAAATGCACCGGATATCTGTCCTAAAAAACATTTCAAATATTGCGTACCAATATTTTTCAGTAAAAAATAAAAAAATTTGCTGTTTGTTTGTATACAATCAAACGTCATGCTTTATTTACAGAATACACTATATAATTATGCAATTGAAGTTAAAATAAACATCTATACATCGACTGTAGACGAAAGTATGAAGTTTAGCGCCCATGCAATTTCCAGATTATGGATTAGATTTTAAGTGAGGAAAAAATAGATACCAGAAATTTTGTGTCCATTTTCGATGTTAGAATTACATAAGAGAACATTCAAAACCGAATTGTTTCACGTGCATCGGCAGAAATCGTTGCCAACTACGCGTTGAAACAATGCGAGATGACTAGACGTGTTTTGGCTAGGAGGCGCCGAAGTAACTCGAGACGAACCATTTTCAGTTGTTTCTATTTTTCAGTGATTTCTTTACATGCAATAGAAAAATTAATTTCTACCCATGTAAAATGTTGTCACAAAAATAACTTTTCTAAATAAATCTGTCCAATCTCTTCTTCTTCGAATGATTTTTACTTCTATACATACTCGATTCATAAACTTGACCTCAGGTGTTTTATTATTATTACAGTGAAACCTTAATAAATCCAAAGTCAAGGAGAATGCTTTATACAAATCAAACACATAGTTAGATAGTCATGTGGTAAAATATGTAACAAAAGTGCATAAATCATTTTTAAATTCTTCTGGGATGTACGGAATATTTTGAAATATGTAAAAATATAAAAATATTTATGGAGTCTTAAAGACTGTCCTATAACTTGTTTTTACTTTACACACTTCACATTAAGCTACTCACATTCCACTTCTATAATAATTTGTTCTTTCCAGTAACTCATAAGACTTTTCACTATGGATTGTTTGTTATTTGAAATTATCTATGTTTTAAATGAACAGGTTTATTCATTCTTGTTCAATTTCTACAATTCAAGTAAAAAATCATATTTGACAGAAATTTTAGCTTCTGCAATTGTATAAAACAAGATGTGGAATTTTCATTACATGAAAATTTTGCTTCCCCTTTACGATCATTAAAAAAATTTCCTTTATCGTGAAAGAAGCAGTAACATTATGACATTCTTTGGAAATTTTTTTTTCAAATCGATACAATATTTGGTAATATTAAAATTAAAAAAAGTTTTTGCAAAAACAAGTGATTTTAATTAATTAAGTATAATTTTTAAGTAATTTCTAATACAAACTAATATTTATACTGTCCAATTCATTCGAAAGAGCATTAAACATTTCTTTTATTTATTTAAAACGGTTTCTTTTAGACAACTGATGTTTAAAGAAATTAATCTACAGAAAACTTGAGATATAATAAACTTAAAACATAATAATATTTCGTGTCGTAGGATAACGATCATATATAGTCCAGAAAGGCAGCAACAGCTATATTTATTTTGTTCCATTTTTTATCTATTGAAATGATGTCCCACCAATAAGAAATAAAAATAAAATTTCTTTCTAATTTTCAAATGTTCTTATAGTTTTTTGGCTCAAACACAAAGTCGTACTCTATTTTTTGAAATAAAAATGATTAGAAAAAGATCAGTCTATAGACAAAGTATACTTTGGGTATACCCAATAACAAACAAACAAACTAAATAGGTTAAACGATAAATAATTCAAAATTATATTTTCCTTAAACAAGTATTTTTTAATTTTTATTATTTTTCTTTCAAGTGCTTTTTTAAAAAAAATTAATAATACCCGCAATCAAAAAATTTCTATACAATGATTCTATAGAATATTTTATGAAATTTATCTATAGAAATATTTTTTTTTATTTCTGCACGAATTCTATAGAATTTGACTAGAAATATTTTATAGAATTCGGGCAGAAATTAAAAAAAAATAATTTTAGATAAATTCTACAAAATATTCTAAAGAATACACTATAGAATATTCTACACGGAGAGACCCACATTTGTAAAAATTACTAAAAATGGTTGCAATGACCGGAAATAAGGGGACTTTTAGCATAATGTACTACAGAATTAGATATAAATTTACAAAAGAAATAGATAAATTTGCTACATTGAAATAGCAAGTTTTAATATTTTGTGTAAGAGTTGTAAATGTAGCAAAAATTGATTATAGTTTTCTCTAATTTAATTAGACAAAATCTGACAAATGAAAACATTTTCCACTAAAACCTACTATCCACTGTAGTAATTTTTGGTGAGCAAGTGTGGCTAGCGAGTGCAGTCATATGGCGCCTGCATTTCTATTGGTTGCTAACTTCGTCAATCTCCGTAAATGAGCCGATGCCATCCGATCATTGACAGTGACTATGTTTCGCGTATGTAAAATAAATTTGGATATTATCTACAATAATTAAATATAAAGTGAAACGTAGGTCTTTTGTTATCTCAGAAATTGACCATTATAAATTAATAAATTTTGCATTTATTCCTATCCCAAGAACTATGTCTTATAATAAGTTGTTAAAAGTAAACTGCTTTCTCGTAAGTGCTGCAAATTTTCATCATTCAACATATTATAAGGAAACAAAGATGTATACTTTCAGTGAAATTCGTTGTCGTGCGTGCATTTGTGTATTAGTGTATTAATTAACCGCGTCTATACATATAAGTGAAATAAACATGTGTGTGTCTTCAAATATTTATCCAACAAATATATAAGTGTGTGTGTGTCTGTGTATGTAAAAATTCTTCCAGTTTACCTCCATTAGTCAAGAATTGACGGGAAACCGGCGACGAAAATCCGTATTTTTTCTTTCACTCTTTCTTTCTGCATTTACAAACGACTATAGTAATTTTACGTACACAATACTTCTGAGTTTACTACAGTTGTTTGGAACTATTGGACGAAATAGTAAGAAACTTTGCTAATTTGGTGAACATTTGTCGGATTAGTGACTTAGTGTATAAAATAGTAAAAAATACAAAAAGTCCCCTTATTTCCGGTGGTTGCAATGTGAAAATAGTAAATTCTAGTGTGATTTTATACAAAAATTAGTAATCTCGGTCTCTCCGTGTATTGAATATTCTATAGAACTTTTTAACTGGGTAGTTTTATCTCTGTCCGCGCAAGCAGTCGTTTATCGTAATTGAAAATTATTTATTTAGGAATCAAATTCTTGAGAGAATCATTTGCATAGTGAAGTAGAGTAGTAAATATTTCTCTATGTAATGTAAAAGTAATATTCGACACATTCTGGGAAAATAGTTTAAAGCCTCTAAAGAAATGGCCGGTGTTAACATCCACCCACGCTACGACTAGTGTGTTTCTAGATCAAGCGAGAAACATAAACTCACTGCTGGTTTACGTTAACATTTTGCGACTTCCTGTAATAAATTTCTTCCAGTGCACTTAAATAAAAGCACACCCCTTACTTTACTTTACTTCGTTGATAATTATTTATTAGTACGTACATGATTTAATAGATTTAAGCTACTGAACGATTACCGGTCACATTCCCGAATGTCCGATTTAACATTCAGTTAAATGAACTAGTAATGCACGTCAAGCAGAAAGGTGAAATTTAATTGACATTTCAAACAAGAAGTTTATTAAAAAAAATTGTTTTGAATAAGTAAAATTTTTTAATATGTATAACACCGAAAAAAATCTCGATGGTATTATTAACTATGACCCTATAGTTAATCTTAACCTAGTGAAAGTAATAAGGATTCCTAATCATTATGGTTAGGATCGCTAGGTTGATTCAACAAATTCAAGCCTGGCAAAAACAACCCTGCAAATCCTAGTCAAATTGACTAGGATTTTAGTAATTTTGCCTATTTCCATAATGTGCACGCGTCTGCTTCTGTTCTGACAGTGTTTACCTCTATATCTTTCGCGTCATTTATCGTGATTTCGTAAAACGATTTTTTATCATTACTTGCGTCTATTTTTTGTACATAAAATGGAGTTCTTACATACATCAAAATTGCCGGTTTCTCGGAACCTCTGGAAATATAGATAGTCCATGTTTTAGAAAGTAAACTATT